AACACTATATGAATAAAGAAGATTAATATATGTTTTATTCCCAATCAATAATGTTAATGCATTTTCCATATACTATGTATAATATTATAACATACTATGTGTTTATGCATAACATCCAGAATATTCTGGTGGCAGCAGAATATTCTATAATAATAAATTAGATTTATTTTGTGTTTGCTTTGTGTATATTATTATCAGTATATTAAATGTCGATTCATCAAGTGTATGCTTGTATTTTATTTGTTTTTAATCATCATATAATTTATGCAAATATTTATGAGTGTCTGTGTATTTAATATACAGATTTCCCACAGGGTTACTTAATCATGATAAACTATCGAATATAAGAAATTTGTTTAATAGGGACTAATATTGATAAAAGGAAAAGCTAATTATTACTTTTAGATTATCTTAATTGATTTATAATTAATGGTATAATTTAAATTTTTATTAAATTTTATTAAATTTTATTAAATCTTACTTGCGTTTGCTTAATCAGGAGGACTTTTATTAAAAATTAGATGTAAATACAACAATATCTAAAACTACTGGATCGAATTAAGACCTTTAACAACAGAATCTACCTATTACTATTACATTTTCTAACTTAGTCATAAGTACTAAGTTAATTTAAGATTATTATTAACTTTACGCAACTGTACTCTTCACAGTAATTTTATTCTCGAATTATTTATTTAAGCGTTATTTTTCAATAAAATAGCTAACATCTAACAACCATCGAACTTATTATGTTGATTAATATGTTTTTATTATAAATTAAGAATATTTTGAAAATTCTGATATTTATTTAAATTTTTGAATGAAGAAATCCATTTTCTTGACCGTCATTTCTTAAATAATACATTTAGTTTAAATATTGTCATAGAAATAGGCAAGAACATTAGTGAAATTGTATTATTAGTTCCCGGAGATAAAGTGCAATTTATAAATGTCTGATTTACTGGCTCAAATAATTTTAACCTCATATCTACGGACTAGATGTGCACAAATATAATTTCATGATTGAGTTACAAAAGGATACATTTATGTGTTATCATGATTTAGTAACCCTGTGGCAAATATACTATTTGTGTATTTAATTATTAGCTGTTTCAGCATGAATATAAATACTTATTTTGTAAAATAGTTTATTTTGGCAATTATTGGCAATTAAAATATATTAAAATTATTTTGAATCAATTAATACCAACAGAAATAATAGTAAATAATCAATAATATTAATCACTATTGTATTTGTTATCTAATCAATTAATCCAATGTATGAATAAGATTTATAAACCATTATTTGTATAGCAATTAAAAGCTTTTTTATACAATACATTGTGACACAAAAAATCAGATTAAACGTGGTATCAATGGAGACGTACGCATACAAACATAATAAATCATTAAGTTACAATAAACTACGAAATACAGTGCCAATAACTATGGTGAAGTGAAAATGACCGAGTTTATTAAAATTGGAGTATAGATGCCTGATCTACACGTGTTTATATTAAAGTACTAACTCAATGTTTTCCTATGTAAATACACAATAGTACTAAATCATTGGGACACCGTTTATATTATATACTGTATTATGTTTTGAGTGGATTTTCCTGAGAGAGAGAGAGAGAGAGAGAGAGAGAGAGAGAGAAGTATTGATTTAATGAGAGAGAACTGGGATTATAGGCACACAGAATATTCTGGATATTAAATTGCAACATGCTTAAGTATATTTCACTTATATGATAAACAAAACTTACCCTGAAGTTATCACTCATGAAGCAATAGATGAATGGATTGACTAAAAAATAACAAATGATAACATTATGGCCAAAATTATGTTTATTTGTTTCTACTATATTTAAAATCATAGGATTATTTTACTTATTGTGAAATATTTTACTATACTATGTATGAAACATATTGTAACTTTATATCTATGTATAAATGAGTTTAATTCATGCAATTTTATATAATAAAATGCTAGCGCCAATCAAGCATAATGTTATTGTGACAATTTAAACAAGTTTAATCCCATTGACAATCACTGAGATGTATAAAAACATACATTAGCTTTTAAATTGTCAGCAATTGTTATTTTATTTTAAAAGCCATTTTTAGTTTAGTTTAATTATTTAGATGTACAGTATCTCATCTAATCCCTCTATACAAATAAATGTTATAATTTTAATTAAATAAATCTCATACATTAAAACTATGTAAATTAAACATTTTAAATAATAACCGAGATTCTAAAGACTATAGGATTAACATTATTTATGAAGTTAACCATAATATAAATATCTAGATAATTTTGTCTGTAACAAATATTATATTTTTAAAAAGCAACCTAGATATTTAACAAACCTAATGAGTGGGCCATCGCGAGCCAGTGGCAAAGAAAAAAACTAGACACATAAACGTTCATTTGAAATTGTGTCCGGGTCTTTAGCGAGTTGCCAAATATCCAGATCACAAAATTAAACATCTGAATTGGTGTCCAGCATATGGCAAATAGTATCACCACCATCGACATCATCTTGATCGCCTACAACATAATTTACATGGCACTTTAATGTATTGTTTTATATGGGTGTGCGTGGGTATTTTAGTATGTAATTTTTTTAAAGTTTGTATTTTTTAATTTTTATTTTGTTAATTAAGCTTGATATTTATATTATTTCAACAGTGGGATAAATAAATGAAATAAATTATGTAAGGTATATTATATGTATTATTAAAGTTTGATCATTGAAAATAGCCCACGTTAATATACCAAATAAATAAGCGTGGCTATATTATAGCATCACAAAACTGTATAATTTCTACCTTAATGGACGCTATGTTCCTAGTGTTGGCCAACTGTTGTGATTCGCCCACCGGTTTGCGGGTCAGTATTGTATATCCAATTGAGCCGTATATGAATATCAGTGCAAATAATGGCAGCGCGAATGTGAACAGGAATAGTGTTGTCGAGTACTGTACAAACAAACATGATACAAATAAAAACAAGACAGTAAAAATTTAAATCTGTATTATTATTGTATTAAAATAATTTTATATTCATTAGAAATTAATCTTGCTCACAATTTCGCCCCCGGTGCCTTCGCCCCACTCTTCCCTACAATCTAAATAAACTTGCGATTTATAGCGAAAGGTGAACGTATGAGTCATGATAAAGTTAGGTAATGACACGAGAATGCCAAACAGCCATATGGTGGCCAATATATAAACGCCCCTGGTCTCTACAAAACCCGATTGGCGTAGTGGGTGTAGTATAGCGTAGTACCTAGTTGGAAAAATAAATAAAGTTAGTATTATATTTAATGTATTTATTATATTTTTTGCTATTGTATAAATAGCATTGTATAATTAAGACTAATGGAGTTTTATGAATACATCATGATGATTCAATAAGCTGCTTATATTGGAGCATTTATTGAAATAATCTTAAAAGTAATTTTTTGTTTTTTATAATTAATTTTACTTAATTCTTATTGTATTGTTCATTTCATTTAGTACATTCTATTTGTACAAAGTCCATTTTAAGTTCAATATTAAGTCCTAGTAGCTTTAATGTTAATAAATGTTAAATAATGCTTATTATTGGGCGTTTGTATATTATTTTACATTTAACATGTATTTTCTTATTGTATTGAGTTTTATATTTATGGTATACAATGTATACTGTACATAGTTTAAATTTTTACCCTAATTAAAATATCGTGCGGCCAACACATTTGTGACAAATCCCATTGGATTTATTATTGTGTAATTTTATTGCCAATTAAACTAGACATTAATTGTCAAACTAGCCTAATGCAAAATTGTAGCAAATTAATGCAAATGACATTTAAGTTTAATACTGTCTATGTAAATTATATTTAAACTAGCCCACTTAATTTATGCATTTTTCATACAAATTATTTCATTATGCTTAAATGTTTTCTTGAATTTATTTAGCATTAATATTACATGTAATTCATTATTATTATTATTAGTTTGTGTCGCAAATGTTTTAGACATTAATGCGATTAAGAATTTTTATTAAACAAATGTAAGAATAATTAGATTATGCTAATTTTTAAATACATTTCAGCATGATTTTCTATGAGTAACTTAAATCAAATGTTAATTCTAAGAGTAATGCTATTATTATTAGGAAATTTTGAAATTATTATTTAAAATAAGTTTAAATATTGTTTGATTAGAATTATAGCTTAATTATAGCAGTGCTTAACACCGTGTTGTAAAAATAAATAACAATTACAAAAACAATTAATTTATTAATTATAAAACACTTTCCATTAGGTCTTAGGGTCTCATCCATTAATGCCATAAATTTTTGCAATAAAAATCAATAATCAATAAAATGTATGTATTTTTACATTATATCAAAATAGTTATTGGTAAACGATAAAGTTATTTTTATAAGCAAAATCAATTTCACACTTCACATACTAATGCATTATACAATATATATGTGAAAAGTGAGCTTTTTAAAATATTAATGCACCAATTTTACATTTTTCATTTTATTTTTGCACATTTCTAAAAAGGATTTAGTAGATGTTATAATATTTAAATATTGAGCGACTTTTTAAAATAAAGTGACTGACGTTTAAAAACAAACAACATAGATATATTTTGTATTAAGTACAATGATATAGATAAGGAACTTTATATAATGTAAATTATATATCACATATAAGAACAGTGAAAATTTTAATGTATTCTGACCATTTATACAACATTAACAATAAGCTAATTAAATTATATATTCTTTTTGTTTAAATCAATATGAATTAAATATATTTTTTATATACAACATTTTGTATATAACATAATATATTTCACTATGGTTTAATATTTCCTGATCACATAATAAATTTTTTTTAATACAATTATACACTTTTATCAAGATATATTTTTCAAATAAAATCAGTGTTATCTAGACGTATTTAATATATGCAATATTATGTGTTGCGTGAGTGTAATCTTCCACAAGAATTCCTGTACACAAAAAAATTTGTGACAAAAAATAAGATAAAATGCAAAACTTTTGCTCAAATTTATTCCCCAAACGATTAGAGTGTAAAAATCGATAATATGTTTGAGTTGTTTCTTATACTAGTATTTATGCAAAATAGATGTTTGTTTAAAATTTTATAAAAATTACTACTTATTCAATGAGGGAGAGAGAGAGAGAGAGAGAGAGCATTGGCAAGGGAAATTAAGAAGATAATAATATTTATTTTTGTGTGGATTGACTAATTTAATCTAGATTTAATAATTTATTTACCAAATGTTTGCATTAAAATATTTACTCATAACATGTTTGGCATATAAAAAATTATATTACTCTTTAAAACATATTTTAAGATTATTATTATTTGGTGTTCCCGTAACTGCCCCTGGTACAATGTTAATCCTATGCCTTAATAGTAAACCTATGAGAATTAGTGACACAATAACTGATAAGTTTATGATAATACTTATTGTAATGGAAATAATAATATTAGATTTATATTTTAAAGACAGTTTCATTATGTTAAAAAAGTAGACGTAAACATGTTATTGTCGTTATAATCCATTGGGGTTAAAATGTTTTTTACAATAATAATTTAATTTATATTTATATTTATAAAGTTAATAATAAGGTTTGTGTAAAGTTATTGCCAATTCAATTCGTCTTAACTATGATTTTAAATTATTAATTTATAATTATTTAGTAAATACGATATTTGCTAATTTCAATTCATATTTAATTCATTAGTAATTTTTATTTAATTGATGTAAAATTGTAAATTTGATTAGAATTTAATTTAATTATGCTAATGTGCTAATTTAATTAAAATAAAATATGAAATTATTAATTAAATTTTGTCAAATAACGTAGAAATTAAATTTAACATTTTACTATAAAATAAAAAATGTTTGTAACTAGGTGATAAAATTAAATGGGCTGTTTTATTAGGAAACAAATTATTTGCAGGTATTGTTACTATGTGGTGAAATAGCCATTCAAATAATAATGCTATTTAATTTCATTTCACCCTAATATATAATTTAGAGTAACTATAGTTGAGAGAGAGAGAGAGAGAGAGAGAGAGAGAGAGAGACGTTGCAAAAGAGAGAATAGATGAGAGAGAAATAACTGGAAATTACATTTCATTTTCAATTCAATGCTCTTTTTATTTGAAACGATTTTTATATATAAAATTTTTATTCGGGTTTTTGTTTTGTTATCCTCTTTACTCTCTTTTATTGCCTGTCATTCTCTTCCAGAGTTTCTCTCTCTCTCTCTCTCTCTCTCTCTCTCTAATGTTAGACAAAAACTCAAATAAAACATAAGAGAATAGAAACAGA